TTTGTTTTCATGTTTGGGGGCTTGGCAGGCCCCTAAAAGGGATCCCTGCTCCATCTCAGGCTCACAGTCCCCAGTTCTAGGGCAGCAGGGAAAACAGAAACAGAGACATCTGGGTATCTCTGCTACGGAGGGTGGGGGTGGGCATTTCAAGAAAAAGCTCTACCCAAGACTTGTGGGTTGGGGATTGGAACAAGCTGTCAAGAACAGCCTCCCCTTGTCCTCCCTGTTTTTAGTGAGGAACAGCTCTTGGTGTCCCCCTTAAGCTTGGGTTTTCCAGCCAAGTGATGCTATGGTGCTAATGCCATTCCTGTACAGAGCTGGTGGGGACCAGCCTTGCAGTCAGTACCATCCTCTCAGCTTGCAAACCGTGAAGGCATGGACAGGTAGACCCCAGTCTGCAGGTTAGGGATCCAGAACAAGAGGAAGAGTGTGATAGTCTCTGCACCTAACGCCCTCACCTGAAGGGTGCAAATCAGAAATCCACACAGGAGCAGTATGGGGCAGGGCTTTCTTCAGGGTTGCTGATCCTCATTTGCTCAGGAAGGATTTTCCAGGGCTCAATGAGGTGTGATGCCAAGGAGGAGGTGAAGGGGCCTCACAGTCAATGAAGGGCACTTACTAGGGGATGTGGCTGCAGCCTCAAAAGCCTGGGGTCCCATTGCTCACTGCCAGCTCTCTTGCCCTTTGCCCTCTAACTGGGGCATCTGCTCTTGCTTTGGAGCCTAGGAGTGTCTGAGTTTTACACCATCAAGAATCCCTGTCTCTCATTTTCCTCCACTGCCATGTGGAGAGAGAGGCATCTCCCTGACCCCAGTAGCCTTGTTCCTCCTTCAGGGACCCTCTTGGGGGGCATCTGAGGAAAAAGCTTCCTGGGCTGACAGGAAGAGTCTTGGGGAATTCACAGACCAGGCTGAGGCTCTCTCAGTCACCGTGTCTGATTAAGTGGGGGCTGATGCATTGTGGGGTAAGAGCATTTCCTAGTGGTGGTTGGCTGCTTGGTGGGAAAGCTTTGACCTGGGGCAGAAACTGCTGGGAAAAGGCAGAATTTAAACCCTCTGCCCACAGAAACCCAAACCTCTTAAGTCATGATGTCTTTCCCAGGCTAGAGGGTAGTTGCTGTGGGAGGGTATTAGGGATTCCCCAAGTGTGTTGCTGGAGGTGGCCTCATTGCTCAGCTCTGGGAGGGCTCCTGCCTGCCTGCCAGCCTCCCCTCTACGTCTTCAGGGGCAAAGAAGCCCAGAGACACAAGTTCCTGATTTAGACTCCAAGCTCCTGAATTGGGGCAGCCTACCTCATAAGCAAGTCAAACCTTAGCCTGTGATTTCCCAGGGAAGTGATAATAGAGCTGACATGTTGGGTGGGGAGAAAATGATGCAAAATCCACAGCTTAGGGCCACGCTCTGTGAAGTGGAGCCAGTATAAAACACACCATCTGATTTGGGTGAGGCCAGGGGAGAAGGTGTGGCTCTCAGATTCGTGTTGACCCTGCTGGCTCATGTGGCATCTGTTGACCCTGTGGGCAGGCGGTCCTCCACCATGCGGGGAAGCCCTGGATCTAGGGGATCTGAGGACAGGTGGTGAGGAGCAGGCTTCCACGCCTGATGAACCGACATGGGTCTGGGTGGAGTGGAACCTTGTCCAGCCTCGCCTAGGTACTCTGTAGTCTTTTCTCCCCTTGCGGGAACTTTACGGTTCCTGAGATCAATGTGGTCCCTACTGGGGAGACCATGAGGAGCCTTGCAGGCCGTGACTTTGCTTGGTACATAGTAAGCATGGGCCATGGGCCAGAGACATCCTTGAAATTGATGCCATGAGTCCCATAATTGTGTGTATCATATGTTTTCAATTTTTTGAACGTGTCTTATTTCCAAATATCTTTCTGTCATGTCTATATACATTGAAGCCTCTTGGGGATTTCAGTATTTCAGCATCCAAGTGACATTTTCCAGACTTCCTCTTGCACCCACCATGATCATTTGACAGCCACATCCCCATTCTCCCATTTGAGATGTATGGTCATTGTAATAGCCTGAGCTCCGGGTCCAGAATCCAGAGCCACCTCACAAAGAGAGGGCAGCAAGTGTGTGATTAGAAGGGTTGTGATGTAATCAAGAGGATGCTGGAGATCTGGATGCCCTGATGGTGGATTCTCCATTCAGGCTGCCGCCAAAGCTCTGGACGCTGGAAAGCTATGCCCTCCAGACAGCACCTGCCCACCGTATTAATGAGTCCCTCTGTTCATGCACAGCTTCCCTTTGCACAGGCTGGCATCTCAGTGCACCAGGCCCTGTACCAGGTCACGGGATCTTCAGAAGCCTCACAGTGTCCTAAGAGTAAATAGCAATAGCAATTATGATACAAAGCTATAAGCACGTACCTAGAAGGGGCCCTGTCAGGTGTGGGGACCAGGGAAGGAGAAGAGGCATCTAAGCTGAAATCTAAAAGACAAGGAAAGCTTAGGCCAAAGTATAGAAAGGGGTTTTCTGAGGTGGGGGAGTCCACGTCCTTCCTCAGCTCATTCAGTTCTCCTTCTCCACATAAGGCCTTCCTTCTCCACCTGTCCAAGATGGCACCTCCTCTCTCTCCTCACTCCCCACCCTCTTCCTTGTTCACTTGTCTGAGATGGTACCTGCCCTCTCATTCCCTCCTTTGTCCACCTTTCCAAGATGGCACCTGCTCTCTCATTTCCTCCCTCCTCCCCTCGTCCAAGATGGCGCCTGCCCTCACCCTCATTTCCTCCTTCCTCCCCTCATCCAAGATGGCGCCTGCCCTCACCCTCATTTCCTCCCTCCTCCCCTCGTCCAAGATGGCGCCTGCCCTCACTCTCATTTCCTCCCTCCTCCCCTCATCCAAGATGGCGCCTGCCCTCACTCTTTTCCTTCCTCCTCTGCTCATCCAAGATGGCGCCTGCCCTCACTCTCATTTCCTCCCTCGTCTACTCAGCCAAGGTGGCGCCTGCCTCACTCTCCACTCCCTTCCTGTGCTTCTGTTCTCATCTATGCTCTTATCACCACTTGGCCGTGGTTATGGTTCTGTTTTTGTTTACTACCTGGATTGCTAGACTCTCCCTAGAATGTCAGCTCCCTGAGGGCAGGGACTCTGTTCATGAGCATATCCACAGCTGTCTATTATAATAGACTCTCAGTCACTTACTTGGCTAAAGAAGTGGGTGCACAAGGTGAGTTCAGGTTGGCCGGAACAGAGAGGCTAAGTCAGAGAGTCTCTGACCATCCACCCCGTTGCCTAGTCACACCCAGCCTCTTCCTGTTGTTTTGACCCCACTCCTTGACTTCTGCCTGGCCTGCCTGGGGACTCACAGCGTCCTTCTGCCACTTCTTGCTGACCCCACACTGTGGCTTCTGTTGTAGGCCTCCTGGTGCAGCCAGAGGTGAGGCAGGTCTGTGAGAAACCAGGGCCGACAGCCTGGCCTCAGCCAACCCAGGGCCAAGCCCCTGCACAGCAGCCGGGTCCTCCCCGGTGCTGCTGGCTGCAGATTAGCCTGTCCTTACCGCTCCTGGGAGCTTCTTGGTGTCAGACCCAGCCTCTGAATTCCAGCTCCTCTCCATGTTTTGCTTCTCCGGGATCTCTCTGTTCTCTTGCACAGCTTCATACTATTTGGGGACAGTCTGCATGGGGAGAGCGGTCACGCAGCCAGAGAATACAGCAAATACATCTGCAGCAAATACACCCAGTATCAAGAGGAGGCATGCCTCGTGCTCTCACCGTAGTCTTTCAGCATCCTTCCTGGGCTTGGGGCTGGTGGCTCCCGTGGTTCCTCTGCAGAATTTTCTGCGGTTTTCTTGGCCCAGGCATGTGGCTGGTTCTGAGTTTTCGCCCTTCTCATGGGGCACAGATGTCAACTCTGCCATCTCCTTCAGGACCTGCGACGGTCTTTGCCAAATCAGGGTCATGAAAAGGAGGCTCCTTCCAGCCCGGCTCCTTTACTTGACCAAATTAAAGGAAAAGGAAAGCACAGGTCCAGGAGTGCCGTGTCTGTCGGTGGCAGGGCTTGAGTAGGTTTGCTGTTTTCTCTGTCGGTTCATGTGGGGATTTCCCTGCATTGTGTCACCCACTTGTCACTGGGTTCCAGTACAATGTCCACCCCCACCCCACATGACCCCAGTGGTTTCTGGCTTAAAAAAAAAAAAATGACGACTCTAGTTTCTTCTCTGGCCTTAGATGACTGAGGTTTGGAGCTAGAAGGAAGCTTGCTGATGGACCATCTAATCCAAATGCCAGTCCACAGTCCACAGACTAGTTATCTCTGAATCATTTGGGGCACTTGGAAAAATACAGATCCCTCACTCTTGCCACCCAGATACTGTTTCAGTAGATCTGGGCTGACCCCAGAATCTGGTGCTCCTGATGATTTTGATAAGACCCACTGACCACTCCAGTATCTTACCAAGTGAGGACGCTCAGGTCCCAGCAGGGGAAATCGTCCCCAAGAGTAGTGGGGTGGACAGGATGGTGAAAAGGATGTGGGAAGACACATCAGGAGACCCAAGCCATGATCCCAGCTCTGGCACCGACCGTGCGTACCACCCTGAGACTGGCTTCCCAGCCAAACCCTGGCTTCGCGATGATCCGAAGGCTGCTTTCAGTCGCCCTGGTGTTCTGTGAGTCCCCAGAATTTCTGCTTGGAGAACCAGTGCATTGTAATGCTCAGGAATGACTCTCCGCTCCATTCTGCAAACATTTACTTTCATTGTCCCCAGCCATGGGCACAGCTGTGTGCCAAGCATTGAGTTTAGAGATCAACATGACAGGGGCTCAGCCCTGAGAGAAGGGGGAGCAAACTCACATTGCCCTTTGTGCTTTGTGGCATTGTGTTTGCACGAGTCCTGCAATGCAGATGTTCTCATGTTGCAGTTGGGGAAATGCTCTTAGAGAGGTTGTGAGACTACCTTCAGGTCATTGTGGTAAAAAGGGCCTACTATGTGCCAGGTGCTATTCTGGTGTGTGCAGAGCCGGGTAGTGACAGTCGGCTGCTCCCGCAGGTGTCGTCGAGGCCCCGATGCTGATCCGCCTGGTGAACGGCTCAGGCCCTCACGAGGGCCGCGTGGAGGTGTATCACGACCGGCGCTGGGGCACCGTGTGTGATGACGGCTGGGACAAGAAGGACGGAGACGTGGTGTGCCGCATGCTGGGCTTCCGCGGGGTGGAGGAGGTGTACCGCACGGCTCGATTCGGGCAAGGTAAGGCCTCTGACGGCAGAGGATGTGAGGAGAGGGCCTGCGCATCCCAGGACTGGGCCCCCCTCCAAAGCCCGAGTCCCGTCCACGGCAGTTCTACGAGGTGACCCCAGCCTCTCCCGCAACGCTTCCTGCAATGAGAACTCACTGCCCCGCCCCAGGCAACTGTCGCCGGTGGCCATCAGGCAGTTCTGAGGATGACAACGTTCTTCCTTTCCCTGATCTAAGTCCTCTATCCTGGAGGTTTCTCCTACCAGACCTCCCCAGTCTGGTGTGCCAGGCTCAGCTGCCGTCCCTCTCCCCCGGGCCAGCTCTTCACACCTTCCTAACTTGCTCTCATGTCTCTTCCATGTTTTCATCATGACTTGACACTTGTATGACACTCACTGTGTGCCAGGCTATGTTCTCAACACGTAACAAATATTCACCCATTTCAACTTTACGGCACTGTGAAGTATGCAGGTATCATCGCTGTTTTTCTTTTCCTTTCTTTTTTTTTTTTTTTTTTTTTTTTTTTTTGTTGGGGGTCAGGATCTTGTTCCGTCATCTAGTTTGGAGTGCAATAGTGCAATCATGGCTCACTGCAGCCTTGTTCACCCAGGCTCAATGATCTCCCACCTCAGCCTCCTGAGTAGCTGGGACTACTAACCATGCCCAGCTAATTTTTCTTGTTATTTTTAATAAAGATGAGGTCTCACTATGTTGCCCAGACTGGTCTCGAACTCCTGGGCTTAAGCAGTCCACCCACCTTGGCTTCCCAAAGTGCTGGGATTACAGGCATGAGCCACCATGCGTAGCCATCCCTGTTTTCCAAATGAGGAAATGAAGGCTCAGAGAAGTTGAGTAACCTGCTCAAGGTCACACAGCTAGCAAATGACAGACCTGGAGTTTAGAGCCAAGCAGGTGTCTTAGGAGTCTGTATTTGAACCACTCTGCTGGGCTGTCTCTGCCTCTCTCAGTCTTTTCTTCTCCAGGCAAACATCCCCAGATATTTACCTTGTCCTCATGTTACAAGGTCTGGAAAGCCTTCAACATTCTGGCTGCTTTCCTACTGACACACAGAAGCACATCGACCTTCCCATGGATGGCACAGGAGCCTCTGAGGAAGGGGCACGACCCTTCCTAGTTAGATGGCTGATTCAAACCCTGTGTTTGTTTCCTGATGGATCAGAGACTCTTGTGTCCACTCACAACTAAAACACTGGTCCCACATGCACAAACCTGGCACTCCCCACACCCATTCAGTCGTGAGCTGTCCCTTGGCAGCATGTCCTGGCCTGTCGCTTCTGCACTCCGGGTCTTGGTGTCCTGTCTGCAGCTAGAGAGCCTGCCACCCCTGTGATGGGTCTCCCAACCTGGGCCCCCTGGGATTTAAGATGCTGCTGCTCACCTGTGGAGAAGTCCAGGTGGGTGTGGGGAGGGATTAGGGCTGATCCTCTCACACCCAGTCACCAGGCCTGCTGGTGACCTGTGGACGGCAGCCCGCTGACTACAGTGTCCCCAATGTTATGAAGAGCCGGGCGTACCTGCTGAATTGCCTGAGGTCCTCGCTCTCCAACCTGCTGTGCTCAATGGCTACAGGGACCCATGGCATAGGGTGAGGGGAGAGAGAGGCGTGTCCCTTCCAGATGGGGACCTCGGAGCCAGGTCACATCCAGACTGGAGGTGGAAGCCTCTGCTCCTCCCAGCCACCTTGCTCTTCATCCCCATGCGGGGCTGCTGCAGCTCTTACTCTGAATCTCATCCCATAGATCTCATTGGTAATTGACTGAATGTGGCGGTTAAAACACATGCTCTGAATGAAGAGACTCCCCCCAAAACAGGCTTTCTGTGAACAACATGGCTGTTTATTCACCCGGGTGCAGGCAGACTGAGTCCAAAAAGAGATTCTGTGGAGGGCGGTGGGATAGGAGTTGGTTGTATAGGTTTGGGGTGGGCAGTAGAAAGTTGCAGAAGTTACAGTGTAGGGTGTTTTTTGCAAGCTGGGAAGGGGTCCAGGGTGAGTCACGAGGTTGACCAAGGTCAGTTATAAAGTCCAATGGCCTTATCAGCGGAGGCGGGAATAGGGAACAGTAGAAGAACGTCTCAAGTTAATTTGGCACCACAAGGGGTGATCATTCTTCCCTTTTTCGTGGTCTTCCAGTTACTTCAGATTTTCTCATTCCAGGAGGCCATCCTAAGGTGTTCGTGTGGGTCACGGGGGTTGCCATGGCGTCCGGTGTCATCAGTCAGCCTAAAAGACCTTACAGTGACCCTTGCCGAAATCTGCCAAGCAGCCAGCAGGGAGTGCAGTTTTAAGAGGCAGAGTTTGAGGGGCAAGTTCAAAGGGGTCCAGTACCACGAAGGGCAGCACCCCAGGAAAGAATACTGTTCTCCCACAGGCTTGGGGCAGGATCCCAGCTGGTTTTGGCTAAGGAAAACCACCGTTATTGTTGGTGAGAATAGGAACACTCCTCAAATTCCCATGTCAAGCTCCAAAGGAGGCTCCTTCCTAATAAGTGGCAGTGAACCCTTTTCAGAAAAAAAACATTATAAATTCTTTTTTTTTTCTCTATGAGAAGCAATTTGGTTCAATATAAATTCAAGAATCCAGAATAGGTAGTTTGAAGGTCACAGGTCATGTTAGCCTGACTCTGGCCATTGGTGAAAAGACAGCGGGTGGCCTGCGAGTGCCAGGCCAGCAATCCTGTAGACTTTGTGGCTACTTTCATCCCCGTGATCTCCGTTCCTCTTCATACATGTCAGGGAGCTCTAAGCTTGCCACCTGATTCTTTAAACTGGTGGATGGGAAGCTGGACTTGCTTTCACTAATGCCCCATTCTTTGCACCGTTATTTCCCTGTCATGGTGCCCTGTTGGGCCTCAGGTGCTATTGGAGACCTTGGCTGGTTGCAGGCCAGGAGTCACTAGAGGTGTACAGAGGCTCGGCTCGGTGTGGCGGCTCACGCCTGTAATCCCAGCACTCTGGGAGGCTGAGGCAGGCGGATCACGAGGTTAAGAGATCGAGACCGGCCGGGCGCGGTGGCTCAAGCCTGTAATCCCTGCGCTTTGGGAGGCTGAGGCGGGTGGATCACGAGGTCGAGAGATCGAGACCATCCTGGTCAACATGGTGAAACCCCGTCTCTACTAAAAATACAAAAAAATTAGCTGGAGATGGTGGCGCGTGCCTGTAATCCCAGCTACTCAGGAGGCTGAGGCAGGAGAATTGCCTGAGCCCAGGAGGCGGAGGTTGCGGTGAGCCGAGATCGCGCCATTGCACTCCAGCCTGGGTAACAAGAGCGAAACTCCGTCTCAAAAGAAAAAGAAAAAAAAAAAAAGAGATCGAGACCATCCTAGCCAACATGGTGAAATCCCATCTCTACCTAAAAATACAAAACAGTTTAGCTGGGTGTGGTGGCACATGCCTGTAGTCCCAGCTATTTTGGAGGCTGAGGCAGGAGAACTGCTTGAAACCAGGAGGCAGAGATTGCAGTGAGCTGAGGTCACGCCATTGCACTCCAGCCTGGTGACAGAGCGAGATTCCGTCTCCAAAATAAGAAAAGGAAAAAAAAACTAGAGGGCCATATGGGCCTGGGCAGGGGTGGGCTGGCATAACTGAGGGTTTCTGCCAGCCCAGGCTGCACGCATGGTCTCCTCCTCCTCTCTACAAGCAGTTTCCAGGTGCCCACCATGGGCCAGGCCAGCTGCAGGGCTGGGGGACAGCTGACAAGCCCAGCCCTGGCCACGGCATGGGTAGTGGAGAGGGGGATTCTAACCCACATTCCAAGGGCTCTAATGCCGTTGTGGCCATGGTCCCAAGAGGAGGGAAGGCCACCACTCCTGGTGACAGGCAGAGCCACCTGCCAGCGTCCTACCCACTGGTGCCCCAACCCCACTGCCAGCTCATCCACTGCTAAGCCTGAAGGAGCCTCCCAGGTCGCTCTTGCTGTGCCTCCTGGCCTTCTCACGCTCCTCCTTCCTGACAGTTTCCTCTCCCAGCACCCCAACTCCCCACCTCCATTGTCCTTGCGTTCTGCGTACTCCCTCTGTAGGCCGCCTCCACACCTGGGGCTTCAGTCACCCCCCAGCTCCTCCCTCTGTCACAGTGCTCAGTGCTGCTCCAGACCCGAGTGTCCAGTGACCTTCCCGACAGCTGCATCGGGACACTCCGTGGGCTCCTCCAACCGCACTGTCATGACTGCACACATCTTCCCCCAAATCCGTGCCTCCCTCGTCACCAGCACCGGCACCATCCTACCCATCAGACCCCATCCCAGCCAGAACCCTGGGCCACCTCTTGGCCATCACCACTCCGTCTCCCACATCAGGTTGGCCCCTGAGTCCTACGGATCCCACTGGTGTTCCCACCTCTGCTGTTTCTTGAGCCTGTTTCTGCCTCGTCGTTCTTGCTGTCCTCCGCTTAGGAGATTAGCAGGTAGAGCAGTGGTTAGTGCTCCGGCCCTAGAGTCAAACCCTGCATGTCAGAACCCCAGATCTGCCACTTGCAGCTGGAGCCTTGAGCAGATTCCCTAACCTCGCTAAGCTTCCGTTCTTCAACTGTGGAAGAACGACTATAAATGCTAAAGGAGATCCTGCCTGTCAAGCAGGTAGCATGCACAGGCACTGCTGTGCACACTTATCTATAGGTTTGGGGTGGAGAGGGGACAGAGAGGCTCTAATTCTCCAGGAGCCACTTCTTACAGCCACCACCCCTGCAGGCTAGCTCCTGTGGCCTGCCTGCCTTCTCATGGCTGCTGGGATCTCTCTCTCTCTCTCTCTCTCTCTCTCTCTCCTCTCTCCTCTCTCTCTCTCTCTCTCTGTTTAAGAGATGGGGTCTTCTTCTGTCACCCATGGAGTCCACCCTCTGGAATAGAGTGGTGCAATCATAGCTTGCTGCAGCCTTGACCTCCCAGGCTCAAGCAATCCTCTTGCCTCAACCTCCCGAGTAGCTGGGACTACAGGTGCATGCCAAGCTACTTATTTCATTTTATTATTTTGGAGAAATGGAGTCTCACTATATTGCCC